GGGGGGAGGCGAATGCTTTTTCTTGGGAACGTCGCAGAGACGGCGCTGTAATCCATTGTTTTTGGTTGTTTTTCTTTCTTAAAAGCACATGAAGCAGATGAAAACATGAACAATGTTTCAAAATGCGATTTATTTTGACCAAGGCGCCTTTTGACTCTGTTCTAGGTCGATTAAACTCGTCACCTACCTGTGTGTGGAACGTCTGTCTCCGATAAAACGAGACTAAGGCGAAGGAAACGGCCTTTTCAGTATTCCAGCCGGCGTATAAATGCTGAAGTCGCCGCACGCAAAGTGAAGCCATGTCTAGTAGAGGAGATATTTATGTATATATATATTATGTATTATACTCACTTACAGTCTTGAAATAGAAATAACAGCGAAGAGCTGAAAACTGGGGTACCGGTACCAGCACAACACGACGTAGCAGTTCTGCAAGAGCAGATTTTGAATGCCTGTCGCAGCTGCCCTCGAGTGTTGTAATAATTATTTCCACGCGCTGCGGTGATATTTATGCACTATGTGGAGTAACAGACTGCGATCGACACTAATAGACAGCTTGTCGTTCCAGTGCTAGGTCATCTAGGCCTCGGTGGAACCTGGTGTGACTGTAAATGAATAGATCTAGATGTGAAAATCTGACGCATTGGCAAAGCATTGCTTGCCTCTCTCCGCAGCCGGTTTTGTTATCCCTAACGCTAGTTCATTCGTTGATACATGTGCCAGTTCAAGGCCCCATTGCCCCTTTCATTCGTCGACACATGTCGTGACCTCGTTCTTCGTTCACTGACCCTTTTTTATCAGCAAGTGTGTCGTGTGTGTACTGTTGGGCTTGTCGTGTTTCGTTTGCTTTGCTCGTGCTGTCGTTTATGTTCCTTTTGCTGTCCTCGAGTCACTTTTCACTGTCACCCCCACCCCAGGTGCCACTGACTGAAGTGTCTCTAGGCCATTCCCAAAAAGGGGGTGGGGGGGGATTTCACGTTCTTATACACAGTAGAATTGTAAATGGGCTGATTCAACAATGTCATGCTCATAACAGTTACTGTGCCTGAACTACAACTGGGAACTGCTGCTTTTTCTTTCCTAGTCCTTACTACCATCAGTTTCCTCTACTTCTTTTGTATGTTTGTCACACTCTTGTGACCCGCTATTTCCGGGGTGCCTTGAAAGTCGAAACAGACTTTGTGCTGTTGAAGCTAGAGAGGTGAGCAGAGTAAGCCCTATTCCCTGTAAAGAAATGTCATATGACCGTATGCAGTTGCAAGTGCCGTAAAATCTCTACATGTACTAAAAAACAGACAAACCCAAAGACCAAACTGTCATTTCGTTCCTTGTCCTGGTATTGTCTCTACTTGACTGGTATTACTCGTACTTGTGTTATATTATTTTAACTCCGCTTTAAACCTCGAGCTGTGGGAATTCAGATTTCTGTTAATAATACTAATAATGTGGCCTCGAGCGGATGGCTGGTGGGTGTGCGCCGAGCAATTCTGTTAGCTCCTTCTTCTGTCTGTCTCTCTGTTGTTTCTGTTAGTCTTGCATCTCTCTTTGAGGGTGGTTGGAGGGCGCCATTGGTAGTTCCTTTACTTCTTTACTTCTCCTTTGTTGTATTTGTCTGAATGTTTCTTACTTTTTCCCAACTTTAAATGACCAATATTGTGTCGATGTGCTTCTCTTTACTCAAACAAACAAGCTCTTTTCTTTTCATGTACCAAATGACTGTTATTGTGTCAATGTTTTTGTATTTACTCAAACTCCCAAACAAATGTAGTCTTTTCTCTTCGGACAAACCGTTGTGTGTCTTGTTTCTTCGAAGCTTGTTTTTTTTCTCGTCCAATTAAGCATTTGAGCTAGAGATACTTTATCAACACACCGCTAACTTTTAGCCCAAAAGTAGCGGGCACCCAGGGTGGGATAGGATAGTGATAGTATAGAAGCATAGGGGGTATGGAGAACCAGGCATCTGCTCTTGATAAGATCTTTGTTCCGTTAGCTGAGGTCATGATTGCAAGCACAGTACTTGTATTTTATGATTCGTTGCTCATATATCATAGATGCTTTGAAAGATTGAAAGATTACATTCGTTAAATGCGTGCACGCGCACACACACACACACACACATACACACACACACACACGCACGCGCACACTCACACTCACACTATGCAGATTTTGTTTCCTGTTCTTTGTTTGATTTTGTTTTTTGTTTTTTTTTAGTTGAAGTTTTGGTCTTTGCTTATAAAAAATTGCAGTAACATTTGATCATTGTCACCAAAGAATGAAGGTAGGTCTAACTCAGCATCAAAAAGATTGAGCCATCGACATGCTCCGCACGTGATCTGCTGTTACCAGGGCATTCATCAACATCAACAGAAAAACTGACGCTGAATGCCTTGCAACAGCAGAAATGCGCCGAGCGTGCTGGTGACTCGATTTCTCTGATTTCGAAATTTGTCTACTTGTCTCACTTTCCCAAATTGCGAGTGTTGCATGAAGCGAAACGTGCAAAATGAATCCACCTCACTATTTATTCATAATCTATACTTTACACAACGCCTCCGCGTTTGAATAAAACTTATGTTCAAAATGATTTTGAATTTGAATCTTGTTGGGGTTGTTTCTTATGATAAAACTAAAAGACTCAGCCATGAATGACTCACGTACCATACATAATGCACACGTGTATTTATAACTTCTGTGAATCTGTGCATCGGTGCCGCAAAATTTTTAAGGTTATCAACAGCAGCAGGAACAGTTGTATGTATGGAGTGTGGAGCTCGATGCGTCATTGCGTGTAATGAGTGTGGAAGTCCATTCGTCATCGCGTGTAATAGTAGTTCTCTTTGCCTACTATAAATATTACAGGTATAATTAATGCAACGCTGATTTGACCTTTGACAAAGTAGCCTTTAGAGGACTATAAACTATAACTGCATGTGATGCTACTTCGATAGCGACTTCCATCAAGTACTATAACAACGCAACAGTTACGATGATGGCTATAGTAACAGCAATAATGATAATAATAGTAAATAGTACTTTTATAGCTTATTTCCTCGCTTGACAGCAAGCTCTATGCGCTTTACACACTAGATCTATAATATTATTACCTCAACAGACCATAGAACACTCAGAAACCTTCTCAGCTTTCCGAGAAGCATACAGTGCAAGCAGCTGATTAAGCGCTCAAACACTAACAAACTGACAATTTCTTTCACGGTCTGTAGCTGGGTACCCATTCCCTCCTGGATGAAGTAAGGAAAATTCGTGTAAAGTGTCTTTCCCAAG